ACTATAATTTGTTCAACTATAATAATATTAAAGTAATTTTTTTCTGTGTATATATAAATATAGGTATGTGTAAATGTGTTTATATTGTACGGTATACCTATACCTTTACACGAATGAACCACACAACTATATACATGAGTATATATAATATAAATTATCATCATATTCATATAATCATATATAAACCTAATATCATATTCATATTTATGTATAATTGTAATCAGTAAAACTAAAATATATGTCTATATAATTCAAAAAATGAAATTGATTTCAAAGATTAATGTATAGTTTTATTCGTAAAATATAAAATTTATGTAGGTTACACAAATCGTTATTAAAAAGTTTTAATTGTAATAAAAAACATGCACTGTAGGCACAAGAAAATAATTTAAAAATGCCGCATGTGGCTCGTCGTGGCGCAGTGGCTGAAATCAATTGCAACGTGATTGAGTGTAAGCAACGATCGCTGGCACTAGTTTCCGGATGGGTGACCACCCGGGTCCATAGTGGAAAATACCTATACTTGTTGTCAATCAACCGTACTATAACCATAACCCCTACAATAACTATAATGGCCATATAGTTGCCAGGCTCTCGACCAATAAAAAAAAATGCCACAATAATATATTATTTCGGGCATGAAGGTACTACCTATATTGAGTATAAACTGCAGCACTTAAATAGTGCTGCAGGTATCAATATGAAAATAATATATATAATAGAAAATCACACACGAAGACTCTGCAGCCCGCCCACGAGTTCTATACTTGTATTATGAATTATGATATATCAGTAAATAAAAATGTAAACATAAGCAGTGCACCACATCTCTATAATTATCACGTAATAATATATAAATAAAAAAATTCAAATTAAATGTATAAATAATTTACCAATAGTATCTTACTGCAGATGAATAAATTATGAATAATTTCTTAGTTTCAAAATATATGTAGCTACCCAGCACTTAACTTACCATTTTTAAATATTATATTGTTGATGTGGCAGTCTATTTAGGTAAAATCATCAAGAAATAAATTGAAATAAATATTTTTCTGTTCCACGTGCATGGTGATGCACGTAATCATGAAAGCAATATCAGAATAGTTTAGCTGATGCTGATAAGATAATATATCTAAATACTTCCCATACGACAAATATTATAAACGAGCATTCATATAAAAAACATGTTTCGATCCAAGTTATAATAATTCTTTTTACATTTCTATATTATAGACTACAATAATTGCCTTTTATTTATGAATGATTACTATTAACCCGGACCCAGAATAGCTAATAAGATACCCGCCTTATCTTTTTTAAGTTTGTAACTGAGATAAAAACTTGGAGGCGTAGATTACATATATCTCTTTTAAACCAAGATAAAAACACTGGTACAGAGATTGTATTATAAATGTGTATTTATAATTTATCATAATAATATTATAACTAATATCTTTTTTTACAGTTTCCGGGAGCACATTTAAACTTATAGGTATAATCGCTAGTATTATTACTTTCAGGAATATCAAAAATAGGAAAATCTCAGTACCTACTATTTTATTATAATAATTAAGAAAAACTAAAAAACACAGCTGCAAAACTGAAATATTCGAGGACACCCGCAGTTTCCAACAAAATGAATTTGGTTTTTTAGTTGAATAATTCAAAAATAAATAGAGGTCATTTTCACCTTATATAAATATATTATAATTTTCTAGACATTTTAATTAAACAGATATTTAGGGTAAAACCATATAGCGCTTTACCTATATATATATATAGGCTCTATGTTAAAATTGTCGAAATTTATGGTGATTATATATACCTTTTGTTTCCATCTCTTCAATATTTAAAATGTATGTAATATAAGATTCCTCATATAGTCATGTAGTAATATAGTTAATAGACATTAAAATTGAATATTAAAAAAAAAATACAATTTATCCTTCTCATCCTATCATTTTTAGTTATTTTACTGCAATACATACAATTTAATTGTAGACACAAGACGTTTCTCCATTACGTATGTAATTTTACATTGCAAGGCATTTTCAAAATATTCAGATTAATTTTAGGTGATTTATATACCTGCCTGCAAATTATATTCTTCATACCGTTTTATACATACATAATGGAAGATATGCTGTAGAAATAAACTTATACCTATAGTTATAAATTATATTATATATGCAATGCATATAGTTTGTTGAAAAAATTAGTCAAATACCTAACTTTGTAATATGCTTGGTATATCAGGCGCCTATTATACATAATTTATTAAAAATGGGATAATATTTATTATTGTTTTAATAAATATAAAAATAACTGCTCAGTGATTATGAAAAAAATTTTAATTTAATTTTTATAAAGGTAGGTCTTGCAATAACTGCCGGTAAGGTGCAGGGATCAGGACATCGGGCTAAATGTATCACTTTTTAATGCTATGCGAGTAGATAACAGGTATATAGATATTAAACCTTTATTTATATGTCTTATAAGGTTATATATATAGGTGCATATATTTTGTATTTAGCCCACCGTTTCGTTTATTCCTAGATCAACCACTGAATCGGTATAATTGTATATATTTGTGCAAATAAAACTATCTATACGTAAATGTATTAAATTTTTAAATGCATGTGGAGTATCTCAAATACATTGATTAACAAATGTTCATTTTTGCTTTTATATTATGCATACCTATATTACGTCTGTGTACTAAATGTATATCAAAATGTAAGCGACTACCCAGTATTGCAGCAGAAGATAGAATACGCTATAGCTATAGGTGTCTTGTGTCAAATATAAATAAAATATAGCAGGTATATACTATTATAATATAGTACTTATACACATTTAAACAAAAAACACAAAAGTAAACATATACATACATATATTTATATATTGTATAGATCCCTTTTTACATAAGTATATCTATGTTAAGATGTATATAATATAAATCGTATAGACGAAACTCCTACGCGAGCGATCCGAACAAAATCACACAACTATATTATATTATATAACATAAGAAGAACATTTCAATCCAACACTTATTATGCACGTCTAAATCCGACAACAATGCACAACCCTCGGATGTAGGTATAGTATACGTCGTGAAGGACGCGGCTTGCGAGATGTATTCATCTAGAGCATCGCTATATACACACAAACATATATTACATCCATTCATATAATATACATATTATACGTCAGTACCACGAGACATACTATATATATATTATTATGTAGGTATATATAAATACGTCCAAGCCGTTGACGCTCAGTGGAACAGAGTGGTGGGTACTACATGCCCTCCCACCAATCTGTCTACTCCACACAGAAGTATAGTGAGAAAAAACACGGTTGTGGATGCAGTGGCAGTACAGACAGTGGCTGCAGCCTTCACAAAACACTAATATATTTTTAAAACTATATAATAATAATTTTATGAAATATCATTAATTATAATTTATTATAGTAGGTACACAACGTATATAATAGTACTACAACAGTATAGTTGTAGTAGGTAGTGGTACTTATATAAGTACATATTACATATAAATAAGCAGGCATACCTATATTATAGCCTATAAATATAGGTTCATAGACAGATAAATAATAGGACACACAGAGCACAGAGCATGCGTACAATTTAAAACGGATAGTAAACAATGTAAAAAAAACGTATTAGTGGTAGGGATACGTATAAATGTTATAAATTATAATTACTGTATTAAAAATTTTAAAATTTCAGTTAAAAAGGTAAAGTATATAGGCCCCTATAATATAGGTTTTGCGCGCAGCCTATACATACATATTGTCTATTTTTATGTAGGTACATAATTTGTGATTCATGGGTAAACCATAAATGAAACGGCCATTGAAACCATATATATAGGTACGTATATATTGTAATATATTTATATGTAAATCCAGCAGGTCCCGCCTATAATTGATAACTACTTAATGTATAGGTATAATTAGGTATATCAATTATACCTATATAACTACATATATTGTTATATAGCATGTATAACTGTACATAATATTTATATAGCAGTATAAGTTTATATGTGTATATATGTACGTAGTTGAAATAAAGTGTGGTGTAAAGTGGCTGATTATCACTTTTTTGTACAATTAATATGATTGATACAGTGATCTATCATCTATATGGACGATAATAAATTATAAACCACAGCTACTTAAAATTGAATAGATAACCACATCATAATATACATTATACACCTAATCATAATATGTATTATGATTTCTCGTAAAAACGATTTATACTTTTTCTTATTTGCGTCTAGGTATTTTGCAAAATAATGAGTGATCACAGTGATTTTTTTGTTTCATTTTAGTTTTAGGTACTATAATAATATTACATTGGGGGGACGCAGTGGCCGACGCCGGTTCGATCCTGGCCACGGGCGGCATTTTTCTTCTGGCAGTCACGGTATCCGGAGAGAGAGGCCGCCATCCCCCACGCGTAAAAGTTAAAGACCATATTATTTTCAAAGTTAAGTAAATGTTGACTGTCATACTAGGGCTTGTGGTATTTTCGGTGTTTCAGAATACCGGTGTACCGTGATTAGGTAATTACCGAAAATTCAAAATACCATATGGGCATATGGCTTATACCACAATTTACTATTTATTATTTTTATATATTAATAATGACATAATATAAGATTGTCATTTTATATATAAAACTAGGTATGTAAAGTATGTTTGTACAGCTTATGTATATTATGGTTGTTTGGGACGTATTAATACTCAAAAAATGTTTCATTTCGGTCTCTTTTATTTTTCGTTTGTCGTCTAATGACAAACCTTTAAACATCGCCACAATAAGATCAATGGAATCCACCTAATAATACAGGTATAATATTGAATTTAATTTTACATCTGTTTTTCTACGTTATCTGTATAATATTAGTTCTTAAAATTGTAAAATAATTAAATTATAGACTCATTATGTATTGATCGGTTCATAATGATATTACCATAATTTCGTACGTATTAGACACCTTATAAGTTATGATACTGTTGGTATGGTCTCTATAATTAGTCGTAAAACTGTTGTGCACCACAAGTACCTGTTTAATAAGAGCTTTGCGAGTCGGTTGGGTCATCTTTGAGTAGCAATCTTCCACAATTGGATGATGCTCTATGCCAATCATTTTAGTCATCGGTCGAAAATTGTTCGACGGCCAAGATGTACACAGTTCCAAACCTCCAGTAGTCTCCAGTATTTTCATACGTTCGTTTATCTTTGACACGTTTTCATTACTGGCTACTAACAACCTATTTGGAGTTGTGTATTTTGTCGATGCACTGACTCCAGACACGGTAGCAGATGAATCATTAGCCCGCATACCTGTAACCAGGCTAAAAAGGTATTGCTCTTTTGGTGCTTTAGGTGGTATCCTCGTTTATTCTTCCTTTTCAGATCAATTGAAGCTATTTGAGTGAAATAGCAAAACGCCATCTCTCTTTGATCTACTATTGGTACTGGCATGTCCACTTTTACGGGTAGTTTTGTGAATGTCCGACGTCGTGATAGTGAAACCATGCCTTGTTTGAAGGCCTGGAGGTCCTGGCTGGAAAGCTTCCATCGCGTGGCCCGATATAACATTATGCGAATAAATTGTATAATAAATTATAGAAAAATCTTTGAAAAGCAGTTGAACAGTTCAATTCTTTATGTATAGTGATTAATACAAAATGGATTTTTGTTTTTTATGCATTGTTTATTTCCGGTTTTTATGTTGGTCTACTAACAAAATACTCATTGATTTAATTTCAGCCATCGAATATTATACAGATGTATGCTTAAATATTGTTACAATAATGTATGTTAATATAAAGAACTTGAAAATCACTGCACATATGAATCGGGAGTGGTACAAACAAATGTGGTTGAGACGCATAACATCTTACTTATTATGACATGAAGCGCACATATTGTATAATATTATAATATATCACGGACTAATATACTATCAGAATGGATAGGACACGCATATACTGGCTTCGCAAGAGAGGTTGCTGTCTTTTTTGGGGAAGAGGGAAAGTACAATATCTAGGAGAGAGATAGACTATAATAAAGAGGCATTTTTTGAGGTGAGGTTACAATAATTATCAATTATAAACGAACCCTTATAACCTCAAAAAATGTTCCTAGGTTAGAACCTTGGAAACACCTAGATCCGGTATGTATTTCGATGTACGGTATTTTTGGTAATTACCACACCTCGGAATTTTCGGTAATTACCAAACATACCGTAAAACTGGTAATACCGTAGATACCTGTAGTAAACTAATACCGGATACCAGCTAGTATTAACATTTTAAATACCGCCAGCCCTATGTCATACTACTGTATTTTCAAAAAACGGTAGGGAGAAAGGGGTGTAATTTGAAATAAAACAAACGTTTTTATCTTTACAGGACCCTCTTTGGATACCTAAATCAAAAAATTTCAAGATTATGAAAAATCAGATTTTGATTTTGTTTTATTTAATTTAAATATTTTGCATTATTCAATTAAAAAAAGAGATGAGCATGCTTGGTGGATCACTCTGTACAATATGTGTGAAACAATTTGAAGTAAAAAATATGTTATGTTTATAATCTATATAGTACCTAAACATTACGTTGATGAATATACAAGTATACAACCTATAAGTTATAACTATACTGTATAAGTTATAAATTTCTATTTATTTAACATACATTTAAATTAAATTAATACCTATATGAAATAGTCAAATTAAAAGTAGAACAACTATATTGATGTAAAAAACTAATAAAACAGTGAAAGGTATATTAATTAATATTTTCAACTTCAAAGTTATTATAAATAGTTTTAGTAAGTATAGTAACTAAATGTATATTTTGACACATTATGAAGGTGTACATAATAAAATAAATTTCACCTATACCTACGTGAAATAGAAAACTAAAATTTATGAAAATAACTTTTTGGCATGCCTGCACAGAAAGTTTAGTTTTTGATGACAGTTAAAGTGTTGGTAAGCGACATTTTTCCATCCAGAAGGAGTGTAAAATGGAAATCCTCAAACGTGCTGGGAGTATCCCCTGCACAACCAGACACTTAAATCTATACCATCCTTACAAAACATAAACTTTAGGTTACATCTTATATTCATATTATTATAATTTATAACCTATCGCTATGACGCGAAAACATTTTTATGTCACGCTTGCACCAAAAGTTTAGTTTTCAATGACGATTGGAAGGGACCTTTTTGGTAAAGTGGAAATCCCCAAAAGTGCCGGGTAGTAAAATGGGATAGTAAATAATCAAATATTTTCTTTGAAAAATTACAGTAAATAATTTACAATAATGATACAATATAATGAATAGATACATAATTGAGTACATATACATACATGATTATTGATGGAAAATATAATGGTATACACACATCGAAAATGATGGAAGTCGATGCCCGATATGGCATTTCAAACAAATGGGTCGACGAACAAGATAATAGATGCCGTCCGTCCCATCCACTGAAGTTAAAGTTTTGACGGATTCACTGTATGCCAGTGTTTCCCAACCTTTTTACCACCACGGACCACTTTGACAATATTTTATAGGTCGCGGACCACCTCAATTTTACGCAAACTAGGAAGACTTTTTTTTTTTTTTTTTGCTCATTAACAAGAATACACAAAAATTTATTGGAACATTTTTTTTATCTTACTGTACTATTATATATAATTATTAAACTTTACTAATAATTTACTTAGTGTGATTTTTGTATACGATAAGATAACCGTATATTACGGTAAAATAAAATATTTTTCGCTGTTTAAAAAAAAAAAATAATTTTTAATAGAAAACTAAGAAAGGTACCGCGGACCACCTTTGACTGCCACCACGGACCACCGGTTGGGAAACACTGCAGTGTATGCAGTATCGACCAAGAGCGCAGTAATAACACCTGGAACCACAGAACTTATCGATGTTGTCTTGCCCACCGGTTGAGCCGGTCGAATCCTACGAGCTACACTTGCAACAGCTGATTGGTGATGTTGGGTCAAAAAAAAAATAGCTTGACAAAACTGCCGGGCCCAAGAGACGGTCAGCGTACAGGAATTGGTAACCGGTGGTGGCCGTGGAGATGCTGAGGAAATGGACAGTGGCAGTAACCGCGGTCACATCTAGTCGCTCAATGTGGAGACGTGCGAAAAGATTTGCTCGGCGAATATTTTGCTGTGGGGCTAACAGTGACATAGACCATTAAGCATTTGTGTCCGGCTGCCGGCTGGATGCCATTTTGTTAGCCGGACAATGTTTTGTAAAAAATGTATATACCGATCGAAAAAAATTATAAATTAAAACTATGCTGCCGTAATAATGTATATTATATAAATTAACTTGAATAAAATTGTGTGTTATATGTTATATAATATTTGTTTTTTATTCGATAAACTTATTATTTAATATGTCAACAGGCTTGTGTAAAGTTAAAATGAGGCTTGTGGAAATTCTATGTATTTTGTTCAGATGTACTTACGGTTTTTTTTAACCAGTGTAAAATCTCAAGAGGAAATTTGTATTAAATTACCAAGCTTTTTGACCGAAGAATAAAAAATTTTATCAACAGGGTACCTAAATCGAAAAAAAACACTGTGATTTAATGGAAAGAATGATAATAGCTGGTATGTGTAATATTGATCTCCATGGATTTGCATATCTATAAATTCCTTAATAATTATTAAATTCATATTTATTTATCTAGTTTGTTCTATTTTAGAATATGATTTATTCATTTAAATTCTCGTCAATCTTGCTCAATGGCGTTCAGTCTGCTTGTATTGTTATTAATATTAGTTAGGTGTAGGTACATTTTATAATTATCTTAGCCCTTTTATCATAGTTAAAAATTTGATATTGTTTCAAATGTTTACAGTTGAAGTTTTCTTGTACTGCAGTTCTGTTCTGTTTCTGTCCTATTCTCTCTTCTAAAAATATTAATTTTAAATTTGATATCTTTTCTAAAGTAATTAGTACCTTACAAAACATAAACTTTAGGTTACATCTTATATTCATATTATTATAACCTATCCCTGCATGACACCTAAAAATTTTTTTGTCACGCCTGCACCAAAAGTTTAGTTTTTTATGACGATTGAAGCGTCGGACGGTAAAGTGAAAATCCCAAAAATTGCAGGGCGTATCTCCTGCACAACCAGACACTGAAATCTATACCACGGTACTTAGAAAAACATAAACTTTTGGTAACATCTTATATTCATATTATAACCTCCTTGTAGGAGGTTTACATTTTTTACATTTTTCTTTTGAAAATTGTTTTTGTAGAATAGTCTTGTTGTTTGTATGTATATGTACCTGTATGTAATAGTATGTGTGGCTCGTGCGGAAAGGCAATTTCAGTTTTGGGTGAAAATGCGCCTCTCCTGCAGCGGTTTGTGCCTCATACGTCGCCCCAGACTGAAATAGCTCGCTTCCCTTCTCGGCTCCCGCCCTTGCCACACAATATACTATAATTGATACATATAATTGTTACATATTGTTTGAAATTAATTGCAAAGTTAATTTAATCACTTTTTTACAGTGATAAAAGCATAATAATTATAGATGCTACTTATAACTATTGGCTATAATATTAAATTCACCTATATGTGGCTATGTATTATGTATAATATTTAAATACATAGGAATACTGATAGTACCTAGATATTCACAAAAATATATTTATAACGTTCAATTACCATAATGAGTATAAAAAAGTATAAAAATATAATTAATACTTATATATATAACTATACCTTTTGATTTCTTTATGCAGTGAAAATTGGTTTAAAATTAATGGAATATAATCTATCATAAATCGTAATTAAAAAATTAAATTTCAAGTTCTGTTATATTACGACACAGCGTTATATAAACGGATTATCATGAGGCGACGAGGTTGAACTTTTCAAAATTTAATTTCTTTAGCTCCTTTCGGTATTCTTATTTTGTTGAGTTGAAATCGTTTTACTTCAATTCAATGTAGCCTAACACCTAATACCTAATATAAGTATTTCGTTATAAACACGGGTACTTATATTATATGTATAAATATATTAATATTGAATATGTTAATTACATTTTTTTAATACCTACATTTTGTTTTATTTTGAATTAATTGTTTGAAATAGACATATAATTTAATTTTAAACCTCCAAAAGATTAAAATATGTTAAAAACCAATAAACAAGAATATGTTATGTTATATAGGTAGCAATATTACGGATGTATAATAGGAATTAATAAAGTGATCATGACGACAGATTATTATAAATATTAGCGGTTATATATACACAAGGTCTCACA